CCTCTTTTTCTCCTCTCCTCTCTTTCTCTCCTCTCTTTTTCTCTCCTTTCCTCTCTTTCTCTCCTCTCTCTCCCCTCTCCTCTCTTTCTACCCTCTCCTCTTCTCTCTTTCTTCCCTCTCCTCTCCCCTCTTTCTCTCCTCCTCTGCTCTGCTTGCCGATATTTCGATGGCTTCCCTTTTTCTTGTTCCCATTCTCTCTCTCTCTCTCTTTTCTTTGAGCCTAGATAGGAAAGATCTGCATTGACAACTGCATGAAGTTGTACGGAGTCAGCATCACCTACAGCTTAGAGAGTCCAAATGTCAGCTGCTACGCGGTGGAGGTTGCTCCAAGCCACAACAACAAGTATGGAATTCTCTATGTGAACAATTCAGCTGTGCTGCAGAGCCCCGAGTGCAGAGAAATACACTACCCTGTGCTAGCTAAAGAGGAGTGGAGCAGGAAGGAAGCTTATGCTCATCTTACGGTCGTGCTTGGAGGATCACGTAAGACTTTTCCTGCTTCTAGAAAGCTGAAGTTTGGTTACCCTTCATTAAGGAGGGTGGAGCTAGTTGATATACAACAGAGCCTGCAAGTAAAGAACCAAGGAATGTGTACCCCTTTTCCAATTCTTGCTGGTATTGCAACAGAGATATCCGTGATGAAATTTTCCCCTGCTCTACACTGCTTGTTCCCTTTCACTTGTGATACAAATTAATAATTGAAATTCCTAAGGGCAAGACTCTTGTACAACTTCTTTTATTGTTCAGTGAGTTACATAAGTCAGTTTTGTTTAGGCTTTTACCCAAGAGGAAATATATATCGCACCATAGCCCTTAGACTTACATACCACTTCACAGTGCTTTTACAGCCCTCTCTAAGCAGTTTTCAGAGTTAGCCTCTTGCCCCCAACAAGCTGGGTCCTCGTTTTACTGACCTCGGAAGGATGGCAGGCTGAGTCAACCTGGAGCCAGTCAGGATCGAACTCCTGGCTGTGGGCAAAGTTAGCCTGCTACACTGCATTCTAACCACTGTGCCACCATAGATAGATAGATAGATAGATAGATAGATAGATAGATAGATAGATAAATAGATAGATAGATGATAGATAGATAGATAGATAGATAGATAGATAGATAGATAGATAGATAGATAGATGATTGATAGATTGATAGAACTCAGGGCTGAACACTAGACTGGGAAGTCATGAAAACATCCCAGAAGAAGTCGCCAAAGAAGTTGTATTATGCCCCATGAAGTCAATTGCTGGCTGAAGACTTTTCTGTGCAGGAGAAGGGCAGGTAGAAACTGCAGGCAGAGTCAAAAGAGGACTCAGCCTAGAATCATTACATGTCCACAAACACTGCAGAGGTGGTATTCAGCCGGTTCTGACCAGTTCTGCAGAACCGGTAGTGGAAATTTTAAGTAATTTGGAGAACCGGCAAATCCCACCTCTGACTGGCCCCGCCCCCATCTCTTCTCTGCCTCCCATTGAGTCCCACCTGATTGGCTGGGTCTTCTTTGGTTGCCCTGCATAGGAGAATGGAGCTGGAAAGCAGGTTAGTGGGGTGGGGAGGGAAGGGGGATTTTGCAGTATTCTTCCCCTGTCACGCCCACCAAGCCACACCCACCAAGCCATGCCCACAAAACTGGTAATAATTTTTTTTGAATCCCACCATGAGTCCAGCCTTCCTTGAATTCCACTAACTCTTGCCTAGCACCTAGTCAGCAATTTAGTGCTGACTGCTGTCTAACTAGATCGTTTTGAGTGGACTCGAGCAAGAAATCTTCCTGACCTGGAACTTAAGGGGAGATCCTTATATTTTTGTGCCTGACATTGGAGGGTTATAAGAAGGATTTGGGCAACACGAGGGGGACCATGATGCGACACTGGTGTCCTTTCTCTTCTCAGTTATACAGAGCGATAAGAACTGTCCAGACTCCTGTGCTATGAGCAAAAGGCGATCAGAGTGTGAAGAATGTGGAGGTCTCGGAGTGCTGATGGGAAAATGCCAGTGGAGGCAAGGAAGTGGGAAAGGTAGATTTGCACATTTGAAAAACCCCCTGAGGGCTGAACCACAGGGGCACCAAGCACCAACTTGGTGGAATGTGTGCGATTGACTTTTTCCCCACCGACGGAGTGTGGATCCATTGGTTGCGACAAGAATTGACTGACTGGTTTGTCATCTGGCTTTCATGCCTAAAGTGGGACTAGAACTCCCAGTCTTCCTTGGGATTGGCCCGAAGTCACCCAGCTGGCTTTCATGCCTAAGGTGGACTAGAATTCCCAGGCTCCCTGGGGTTGGCCCAAAGACACCCAGCCATTTTTCATGCCTAAAGTGGGACTAGAACTCCCAGTCTTCCTTGGGATTGGCCC